AATATTTTTGTGTTGATTGCAACATTATCAGAACATAAACATTATTATAAGCATAGTGAATGTAACTACGAATCTCGCATTTAATCCAATTCATATGCCTGGCAATTATCTTCATCTCGACTTAATATATGACACTGATCAAGTTGCTAGGTATATGTTTGGGTATTTCTCTTGAAAACAAACTGTGTCATTTCTTTTTGATCGAGCTGGTCATTCCCTCAACAGTAGTTTAGTCATCTTAATAAGATCATGGTCACTCTCCGATGTAGAATGTCTAGTGTTCGTTTTACTGTAGTGCAATCACACAATAGGGGTTATAATTTCCCAATTTACAGTAATAATATTAAAATAAACTATCAAATCATCACAATTTGATTTAATCAACGACCATATGCAGTAACCATAAGATCACCAGTTCGCTTTTTCAAACTGTCAAATTCTCCGTATTCGATTCAATTACAATCAATGCATGATCAAGTCATTTTCAATATGAACGGTGTCTCCCAAACTAATCAATATCACAATGATGGTAAAACTGTTTGATGATAATGTTCAATGAAAGGCATCAATGTGAATCTAGTGTTGCTGCTCACTTTCCCCCAGTACTAGTATATACGAGTATGACAAGGTTGTACATGCAGAATTAATGATGTGTGCATAATTGTATGTGTCTACATAAATTGTACAATAAGAATGGATACATGAATACTAGGTATACTAGTGTATATACTAGTATGGAAAAGTTATGTATGCATATTAAATGAGAAGTGTGTGTGAATAGTGAGATATGTATTTAAATTTCGACAGCCATTCAGACATGTTGTGTAAATAGCTAATGAGATATTCTTGCATGATTAATGCCAAGTGAACATATAATGAATCGTTTGCAACCATATGAGTGAATAATTAATGTATTTCGATGGCCAACCACACATATTTACAGCAATTCCAGGCACTGATTTGATGCTGAAGTAGTGCTAGATGTAGATAACTTACTACAATATGTTACACACTTTGTTTTCAAATTTACAGAAGTTGTAACTCGAAATATAAACATCGGCTATAAATCAGAGGAATGATTGATAGATATTGCCTACAATGTTTTCTATTTTTGCTACAAAGTCAGGTACACCTAGTCTTTCATTCACTTTTGGACTTTTGGTCACAGTCAGTCTTCGTGTCGATTGCGTGTCTACAAATCGGCATTTGTCCAAGTTGTTCAAGCACCAAAACGGAGAAGCAAGGAGTTAAAAAACCAGTTGAAGTGAGAACAAGAGTTGACGATTTTTCGTGGACTGTCATTTGCTGAGATTGGAGATCGAAGTGGTGTTTCAAAGCAGACAGCTTATAATATCGTCAAACGGTTTGTTACCATCGAGAGTATCCTGCCAGGAAACTGACAACGTTATAGACTATGTCGAATATTATAAAACATTGTGACCGCTCATTTACGTACAGGAAATTCATAATAGGAATATTGCATTTTGATCAAAAATTCTGTCATGATCAGTCGGTCAGCTGGCTCTGTAAAATAACGTTCTTTACAGTGCGACCACTTTATGCGCCCCTCTCTCTGAAATAACATGTGACGCAAATTGAAGTACGAAACTAAGTTGAGAGCCTCGATCGTTTATTGGAGGAGAAATTCAAAACTAATGTACTGCCACTTTTATGGGCGGAGCTTCAAATTGCAGACATGCTGTCTGCATTATTTCTAACAACTTCCGTAAATTTGAAAACAAAGTGTGTAACCTATTGTAGTAAGTTATCACATCTAGCACTACTTCAGCGTCAAATCAGTGCCTGGAATTGCTGTAATTGGACATGTGTAAAGTTTAACATAAATACTGTTTCTGCGCCATATCAGCAATTAAATATCACGAATGTAACTGAGTTGTATGGTAATGTGAATAATGTTGCCATTATTTTATGTGTATGAGCAGCCACAATTGAGTAGATGTGTATCAATGCGTAAGTGTTATCTAAATAAATGGGAATGACTTAAATGTTGTACGTTTCAGGCATTGATACATCGGGATTAGCATTTCATCCACATAAGCTTGAAAAAGCGTCAAGATATCGTCTCAGACTTACAGCATACCTCGATAACCAAGAAGGTTATACCGAATGGGAAATTATAACTAACATCCCCCCATATGGTGGACATTGCAAGGCAAAACCAAC